ATGGTCTGGACAACTTCCCTTATTGGGGCCGCTAGTCCTCCTGAGTCATTTCTTGATGGCTTTGGGGCCCGTTGAGGACATCAGCCAGGAACTGGCCGCTCCAATCTGGTCGGAGCCTCGGAGCCTCGAATCTCTGGCTCCGTGTTTGCTCTTCGACATAAGGAGGAATGGGGCCCAGAGACGGGACCAGAGGGCACGCGGAGTTTTTTGGGGATTTCGGAGCTGATTAAGCCGTGAGCCTCTCAGCACAAGGCCGGCACGCAAGAACTCGCAGAGCAGGAGCCGGGCTGAAGACGCTGCACGGGCACCGAGGAGATCTGAGAGCAGGGCCCTGCCCCTACCCCTGTTAGGGGGCCACATGCGAACCCTACCCCTACCCCCCACGATTTCTGAGGGGGAGGGTGGGGTTCACCTCGCTCGGGAGCTCCCGAACGAAGTGAACCCCACCCTCCCCCTCAGAAATCGTGGGGGGTAGGGGTAGGGTTCGCATGTGGCCCCACCCCTGTCACCATCCCTCCGAGAGAACCCCACTCCTCGCATCGGGCAGCAGCCGGGCAGGCTTCAGGTCGCAGGCAGCGCCTGCCGCATCGTGGGCACTCGGCGTCACGCGGACGCCGCAGGGAGGGCGAGAGCGGCGGCCCGAGCGAAGGAGGCGGCGATACGTGGCTCGAGGCTGGCGGGGTGGTGTCGAGGCATCGGGCCCACCCCCGCGGGAAAGGCAGGGGTCCTCCTCCTCCTCCTCCTCCTCCTCCTCCTCCTCCTCCTTCTCCTCCTCCTACACCCTCCTCCTCCTCCTCCTCCTCCTCCTCCTCCTCCTCCTCCTCCTACACCCTCCTACATCCTCCCTCCTCATCCTCCACCCTCCTCCACCCTCCTCCACCTCCTCCTCCTCCTCCTCCTCCTCCTCCTCTGACATTCGCGATGCCTCCGGGCGTGGCGATCTTCCCGTGTTGGGAGCGGAAGACGCTCACACGTTATTTGTGGTTGGGGTATTGGGCCTGCCAGCGCGCACCGGGCGCGCTTGTTGCACGTCAGGCTGTGGCGTACGACTGGCCATCGCTCGGGCGTCCATTCCCTGTGCTCTTTTCGGTTTCCTGCGTGGCTCTGTCGCCACATGATCAGGGATGCTCCTCGATGGTCCTCGCCGAGGGAAACATTCGGGAGCGGCCAAAGAGGAGGGTGTCCAAGAGGGGGGGGGTGCAAATCATGACCGGCGGCATGTGCGCGGCCCAGCGGGGGTGCCAGGGACGTAATTGAATAAGAAGAGACGCCGTGAAATCTGGGGAAATATCATGGCCCCCGCCATGATATCCACCCCCCCTAGTCATCACCCCCCTCTTTGCCGCCCCCAAAACATGCACACGTCCGAGCCATCCCCCTCCTCCTGTCGCTGTCGCCGATGGCATCGACGTCGATCACGACGGTGCCCCCTCCCCCCAGGGGCGGTCGCCCTTTTGGGGGGATGCTCATACTAGTTACAGGGCAGGTTTTAATACATAGGATGTCTTAAACACATAGGATGTCTAATATATGCTTAATGTATGAAAAAATGCATGAACGCATCATTGATTTTAATACGAAACCCCTGCATTTTTTAATACATGATCCGCACGCGGAGCATGTATTAAAGACGGCACTGTACGTAAAGAGAGGGTTACGAAGGTGGCACTCGGAGGCGCCCCGACAGGGCGAGGCAGCTAGGTCCCTCTGCGGCCCCAGCCTCCTCCTTCTCCAAACCCAAAGCCCGCTCCAACCCGATCCCTGGACCCCTCCTGGGGCCCTCCCTGACAATTGCTTCGCTGCGGAGCGATCTCTCGATCTTGGGGCCCGGGACAGGCCTCAAGAGGCCGAGCATGGTCAACACACTGGTCGAACATCCATAAGGGGAGAGGGAGAAAGAGATAGAGAGAGAGAGATATAGAGAGATAGAGAGAATACTAGAGAGAATACTTTTTATATATGTATATATAAAAAGAAATAAGATAGAGAAAGAGAAAAGGGGATATATATATATATATAGAGAGAGAGAGAGAAGAAGAAAGAGTGTGTATGGAAAGAGCGGGAGGTGGAGGCGAGGAGCTCGACGGGGCGAGGAGGGAGGAGAGCCGAGGAGGACGGAGAAGGAGGAGGAGCCGGAGCAAGGCGGGGGAGGAGATGGGGATGAGGAGGAGGGGGGAGGAGGAGAGGGGAGGAGGAGAGGGGAGGGGAGGGGAGGGGAGGGAGGAGGAGGAGGAGAGGAGGAGAGCAAGGTGGGGGAGGAGGAGAGGGGAGGGGTAATGCAGGATGACGATTCATAAAAAAATGGGAAAGAACGATTAAAACAAATAATGTTCTGCTATTTCTGCGCAATGTTCTGACCGGGAGGCGAACGATTGAAAAACATAGTTTTCCAGCCCGCGGCCGGTTTTTTCTAATCGTCATCCCGGGCGCCGCCGCGTGAACACGACCCCCGGTCATTTATTAATCGTCATCCTCTATTGGGGAGGAGGACCATGAAGAAGGAAGGAGAAGAACGAAGGCGATAACGCGCCTCATAACGGCCGAGGGCGTCCCCGAGTGGGACAGCAATTAGGAAGCACAAGTGTTCGAAGTCCTGGGTGCGAAATACACGCGCGAGCCCGCGGAGGGGCGGATCAAAACAGGGCCCTCGTCGAGGGAGAGCGGAGAGTGGTCCTCACATCGAGTGGTCACAGTGGGGGAGGGGAAAGGGCAGGGAGGGGGCAGGGACAGAGTGGAGGAGGAGAGGGGGGGGGGAAGGGGCATAGCAAGAGAGCAGCGATGTGACATGTCGGGTGCCCGCGCGGATGTCCGCGCGTTCGTGCTTATGCAGCTTCCCCCTCGAGAGGGAAGGATGAGGGGGAGCGCCGGGGGAGGTAGCGGCATGAGAGGGAACGTCAGGGGGGGACCGGCTCAGGGGGAGGAACATCGAGCTTGAACCGACGGTGCATCGCCGATATATCCACCCTCGATAGCGAGTCCGAGCGCTCCTGGGAGGGGTGGGCTACCAGGCTCGTGTCGGCGATGGGCGGGCGATTTGGGACCGATGCGGCCCCCCCTGAGCCGAGGGGGGTGCGAAGGAAAAGGCTGGACATGCGCAACGCGGAAGCGAGTCCTGGAGAGCGTAAGCAAAAAAGCCGAGGACATTGCTCGGCATTCCTCCTCAGCCTCCTCCTCCTCCTCCTCCTCCTCCTCCTCCTCCGCCTCGTCATCATCGTCATCATCGTCATCATCATCATCATCATCATCATCATCATCAGCATCATCATAACCACTATCCTCCTCCTCCTCCTCCTCATCATCATCCTCATCATCATCACCACCAACACCTTCTCTTTCTTCATCATCAGGATCACCACCACCACCATCATCATAATCACCATCACCACCAGTATCATCATCATCAGCATCAGCATCAGCATCAGCATCATCATCATCATCATCAGCAGCATCATCCTTAGCATCATCATCATCAGCAGCAGCACCACCACCATCATCATCATCAGCATCATCATCATCATCAGCATCATCATCATCATCATCAGCAGCATCCTCATCATCAACATCATCATTACCATCATTATCATCAGCAGCAGCAGAAGCAGCATCATCACCAAAAGCAGCATCACTATCAAAATTATCATCATCATCATCATCATCATCATCATCATCATCATCATCAGGTTCATCAATATTACCACCATCATCAGCAGCATCATCATCACCACCATCATGATCATCATCATAATCATAATCATAACCAGCATCAGCATCGTCATTATCACCATCCTAATCATCATCCTCAGCATCACCATCATCATCATCATCCTAATCCTCATCATCACCACCACGACCAACACATTCATAATCATCATCATCATCATCATCATCATCATCATCATCATCATCATATTCATCATCATCATCATCAACATCATCATCATCATCATCATCAGCATCATCATCATCATCACCATCATCTTTTCGATCCTGATCCTACCCTCCCCGTCTAAATCATTCCTCCTCCTCCTTCTCCTCCTCATCCCCCTCTTCTTCCTCCTCCTGCATCTCACTTCACATGGAACAGGCCCTGGCGAGAGCAGGCTGTCAACATCTATAACTTTCTGCACGCCCCTCTCCTTCTTGTCCTCCTGCCCCTGCCTCCTACTCGCCCTCCTCCTCCTCCTCCTCCTGCTCCTCCTTCTCCTCCTCCTCATCCTCTTGCTCCCCCTCGTCGACCTCCTCCTACACCTCCACCTCCTCCTCCTCCTACACCTCCTCCCAATCGTCCTCCTCCCTCCTGTCCGCCTCCTCCTTCTTTTCGTCCTCCTCCTCGTCGTCCTCCTCCTCCTCCTCCTCATCCTCCTTCTCGTCCTCCTCCCGTCTCCTTCTCCACATGCTCCCCCTCGTCCTCCTGCTCCGTCCTCCTCCTCCGTCCTCCTCCTCCTCCTCCCCTCCTCCTCTTTCTTCCCCGTCCCCCCATCAAAAAATCTCCAGCGCCGTACCCCCCCCCCCCGTTGAACCAGATTGGTGCCCATCATCCTCCTCCTCCTCTTCCTCCTCTCTCCTCCCCCTCCTCCTCCTCCTCCTCACTCCTGCTCCCCTTCTCCTCATCCCTCCTTCTCCTCTCCTCCTCCTTCCTCCTCCTCCTCCTCCTCCTCCTCCTCCTCTCCTCCTCCTCCTCCTCCCCCGCCTCATCCACCTCCTCCTCCTCCTCCTCCTCCTCCTCCTCCTCTTCCTCCTCCTCCTTCACCCTCTCATCCTCCTTTTCATACGGTGGCAACTCGTGTGAGCCTCCTGAACCATCTTGTTGGCTCTTGCGGATGGACGCCGCTCGACGCTAAGTCGACTCTACAGCGAGGCTCATCCATGCTAGCCGACGTTAAATCGTCGCCATCCCATCGATTACTGGACGTCAGTCGACGCTAAGGACGGATATGCGAGGGTGTACAAGGCTCCAATGATTTGCTACCGAATCCTTCTCCTTCAAATCCGCGCGAAGATCACCTCACACACGCCGTGCCCTTCACCACCGGGTACGGGGGCAGATTATTGTTGCCGGGGCAGCAAGTGGCCCCGGGAGCCTGGCAAGAGTTCCCGCAGCACTGGTTGCTCCCCGCGCACCCGAAACCGTAGCCCGCCTCATTCGTGCAGCAGATGCTGTTCGGGGCTATGCAGATGTCCTTGCAACAGATGTTGTTGTCGGCGCATGCGAAGTAGTCTCCATTCCTGTTCCTGCAGCACGTCCCGCCGGGGCTCATGCAGATCGGCCCGCAGCACACCTGCCCATAGGCGCACGTGAGATGCACGCCGTTGGACCCCTGGCACTGGACGCTGGAGTACCCGATGCCCCAGGGATCTGGAGGAGGAGCAAAACCAAATAGGCCTCGACGCCGACTGCTAGAGGACTCCCCCGACTGAAGAGCGGTCGTGTTCGCCTCCGCCGAGCCCCCGGCCTCGAAGAGGGAGACGAGGAGGGGAGGAGGAAGAAGAGCGAGATACGGAGGGGAGGAGAGCTAACGGAGGGAAGGAGAGAAACATGCCTTCGAAGATCTGAGTCCTGGTGGCTCTCGGGCCAAAACTCGGGCCCTCCAGCGAATGTTCGGGACGAGTCCTGCACACCAGGATCGGCCTCGAGGAGGCGCAGCTGATGAAAGCAACCCTGGGCCTCGGACGCGTTAGAACACCCCTACGAACGCTGGACCCCCCCTTTTGAGCCAGGGGTGGGGAGGGAGGAGGACGAGGGAGGGCTGGAGGGGACGAGCGAGGGAGGAGAGCTTGGAGGGGAGCTGGAGACCCAGACATCCCAGGCCTTGGCTCTGGGCAGGCGGGGCCCTTGCAGTCCCGAGGAGGAGGAGGAGAAGGAGTAGGAGGGGAGGGTGTGCAAGGAGGAAAAGTAGTAGGAGGAGGAGGAGGAGGAGGAGGAGGAGGAGGAGGAGGAGGAAAAGTTAGGCAGTGGGAGGAGGAGGAGGAGTTAGGCAGTGGGAGGAGGAGGAGGAGGAGGAGGAGGAGGAGGAGGAGGAGGAGGAGGGGGTGCAAGGAGGAGGAGGAGGAGGAGGAGGAGGAGGAGGAGGGTCAATGTTGCACCCTGGGCCGTTTTTTCCTGCCGGTGTCGGGGCCTGGCGAGGGCGCCCCGACTCCGACGTCAGGGGAGGGAGGAAGAGGGAGGACGAGCTAGAGGGCCAGAACCAGAGGGCCGAACCTTGACCTGCAGCAGCGAGGGCGCGTCGCCGTTCTCGTCGGCGGCCTCGCGCAGATGCAATCGATCTGTGTATGTGTATACAATTACATGTCTATGCATATGCATGCGCATCCACTGCGCGATGGGAAGACTGGAAAAAGGGGCACCAAGAGGCCCAGGCGCACTGGATGTGGACAAGCATCCGGCCTCCAGGGGCCGAATGTTTAGCCATTCTCCCTGCGCCGCTGGCTTCTGGGGAAGGGGGCCCGAAACTCCAAGACTGCTCGGCGCGCAGAAGGCGCTGGCTCTACATCTATAGAGAAGGCCCCCCGGCGCCTTCCAAGAAGCGCGGCCCCCTTCTAAGGCGCCTCCCCTCCTCTCCCTACCCCCCCTCTGCGCGTGGCTAAACGACACAACGGGATGGATACAGATCTTGCCCGCACATGGACTTCCCGGAGGTCTGTGTGGATTGTTTGGGGGGTCGGCGCTAGACTTAGGTCGGCCATGCCCTCCTACAGCCGGATTCTGCGAGAAACAAACATAAGAGAAGAATCAGACACAGAAAAGGAGCACACGTCATCGTCCCCAGACTAATGTGTAAAACTATTCTGGAATATCCCCCCTGTCGAGGGACATGCCCGACTTCACGCTAGACGTAGGTCGGGCATGTCCCCCTACAGGCAGATTTGGGGAGAAAAGTTTAGAAAGTAGTCAAGACAATGCCCAAACATAGTCAGAAACAGCGTAATATCGTCCCCAGACTATTGCTTTTGATTATTCGTAAATTCTCCTATACAGTCAAAAACCCTCATAAGGACGCGCGGTAAGGACGCACGACCCTTGGAAGCCGAAGTTGGGATTTTTTGGCCGGCGGACGACGAAAACCCACACGAAAGAGGCCAAGGACGAAAGAGCTGGAGGCTCCCGGTGGTCAAGCGCCGGCCCGCGAAGCCCCTGAGGGCCTCCCCCAAGGGGGTCCTCGCTCCTCCTCGCAGCTCCCCCTCCTCGCTCCTAATCCTCCTCCTCGCTCCTCCTCCTCCTCCTCCTCCTCCTCCTCCTCCCTTCTCCTCCTCCTCCTCCTCCTCCTCCTCCTCCTCGTCCTCGTCGCTCCTCCAACTCGCTCCTCTCTCCTCCTCGCTCCTCCTCGCTCCTCATCCTCCTTCTTCTCCTCCTCCTCGCTCCACCTCGTTCCTCCACCATCTCCTCGCTCCTCCTCCTCCTTCTCCTCCTCCTCTTCCTCCTCCGCGCTCATCGCTCATCGCTCTTCCTCATCCTCGATCCCCCTCCTCCTCCGTCCTCTCCTCCTCTCCTCCTCCCTCCTCCTCCTCCTCGCTCTCCTCGCTTCTCTCACGTCCTCCTCGCTCCTCCTCCTCCTCCTCTCCTCCTCCTCCTCCTCCTCCTCTCTCCTCCTCCTCCTCCTCCTCCTCCTCCTCCCTCTTCGCTCATCGCTCTTCATCCTCGTCCTCGCTCCTCCTCTTCCTCCTCCTCCTCCTCCTCCTCATCCTCTCCCTCGTCCTCCTCCTCCTCCTTTTCCTGCTCCTCCTCCTCGTCCTCTCGTCCACGCTCCGTCGCCCTCGGCGCCCCCTCCTTGCTCTCTTCTTCTCCTCGCTACTCTCCCCCTCGACACCCCTGCTGGGTCCTCCTCTCCTCTTGAGCAGGGACCGACCGTCCTGGCAATCCTATAGGCTTGCCACGGAATTCTCCTAGAATCCAAAAATGCTCGAACATAAAAAATGTTCTCACAACATAAACCCGCTGTGTTGAAACAAGATAGTCTCAGCCAGACAAGTTCTAAGAACAGTTCGTGCAGACCTCAGAAGGTTCTTTGCAGATTTGTTGGTAGGCCTATAGGCAAACCGGGACGCTTCGCCACTGCTTGATCCTCGCCCCCGCTCGGCTCTCCCACGGCCGTTCGGGACGATCTGGGCTGCGCCCAAAGAGCTCTCTCGCCGAGGCGCAGCTGCTGAGACCCATCCCGAGGCAGGAGATCCGCCGAGAGGGGACGAGAACCTCCGCGAACCTTGAGCCTCGACGCCGAAACTTCCCCGACGTCTCCCCGCTGCTCGTCGGAGGCCTCGCCCTGCCGCTCGGCTCCGGCGCTGCAGCCCGGAGCGGTGCAGCCGGCGTCGGCCGCCGCGCCTGCGGCGTCGACTGCAAGGAGCGTCAGCGCGGCGGCCGCGCAAGCGGCCGTGCGCAGCAGGGCCGCCATCCCGGCGTCGGAGGCGGGTGCGGCGGAGGGCGCAGAGCTGCGTGTTCGACGATGGACAGGAGGAGGAGGAGGAGGAGGAGGAGGAGGAGGAGGAGGAGGAGGAGGAGGAGGAGGAGGAGGAGGAGGAGGAGGAGGAGGAGAGGGAGGAGGAGGAGGAGGAGGAGGAGGAGTAGTGGACTCCCGTGTTGCCCACCAGCCCCTGGGCGGTCTGCCGGTGGTCTGCGGGTGGTCTTCTGGCGGTCTTCGGCGGTCCTCGCTGGTCCTCGGGCGGTCTGCGGAGGTGCTCGCCGGTTTCCAGCGGTGTTCGAGCGAAGACTGGATCGAAGCGGATAACAGAGGGTCCATGATCGAACACCTAACGCAGAGGAAGAGGAGGAGGAGGGGGAGGAGGAGGAGGAGGAAAAAAAAAGGAAGAATACTGAAAAACTCATTTCTTCGGGGGACCTCGTCTGCCCCATCGCGCCAGCCATCCGTGTTGCACCCATGTCGGGTCTTTGTCGAACGCGTCGAATCCGTGTCGAACCCGTGTCGGATTCACGTCGAATCCGCGGAGGGGGGGGCGCAGAACCCAGACACCCTCGCCCACGGGCGACGACGGGGGGGGCCAGCTCAGAGCGTCGAGCTGGAATCAGCGACACATCGTGGATAGATCGGCGACATGCCCCCGGCAGCGAACCCGCACGTTTCGCGAGGGGGGGCTAATTATCAGGTCCCGATCGGCGATGAGTAAACGAATGGGGGTCCATGCGTCCCCCCTATCGTTGCCCCTGACTCACGTCGCGAAACACCAGGACGGGGAATTCTCGGCAATTGTCTGCCCCTGGGGGGCCCTGGCCGGACCACAGAACCATCAGACAAAGACTCAAGATGAGAAACAGGTCCCCGGGAAAAGGGTCCAGACCTCTGGGGGTTCACGTCGTGATAAGCATAACGTCTGGGGTCTGGGGAGGAAGCGGAAGGAGGAGGAGGAGGAGGAGGAGATAGGGAGAGGGAGGGGAGGAATGATCACGCGAGGATGAGGAGAGAAATGAGAAGGAGCAAGAGGGACGAGGATGCGAATGAGGGGGTGGTGGGGAGGAGGAGGAGGAGGAGGAGAGAGGAGGAGGAGGAGGAGGAGGAGGAGGAGGAGGAGGATGAGGAGGAGGAGGAGGAGGAGGTGGAGTGAGAAGGAGGGAGGAAGAGGAGGAGGGAGGAGGAGGAGGAGGAGGAGGAGGAGGAGGAGGAGGAGGAGAGGAGGGGAGGAGGAGGAGGAGGAGGAGGAGGAGGTGGGGGGAGAAGGGGCGAGGTGGAAGGAGGGGGAGGAGGAGAAAGTGGAGGGGGAGGAGGAAGGGAGGAGGAGGAGGAGGGGAGGAGGAGTGAGGAGGAGGAGGAGGAGGAGGAGAGGAGGAGGAGGAGGTAGGAGGAGGGGGAAAAAGGGGGGAGGAGGAGGAGGGGGAGGTGCAGGGGGAGGGGGAGGGGGGAGGGGGAGGAGGAGGATGAGGAGGAGGAGGAGGAGGAGGAGGAGGAGGTTGGGGAGGAGGTGGAGGAGGAGGAGGGAGGAGGAGAAGAGAAGGAGGAGGAGGAGGAGGAGGAGGAGGAGGATGGAGGAGACAGGAGGAGTTGGGAAGGCGCGCCTCGCCTGCGGGCAAGAGAGCGGACCCCTCTGAGAGGGCAACCTGGGGATGGCAGGCCAGCTCCCCCGCCCCGCTCTGCCAGGCCGGGAACAGCCGCAGCCCGGGAGAGTAAGGAGGAGGAGGAGGAGGAGGAGGAGGAGGAGGAGGAGGAGGAGGAGGAGGAGGAGGAGGGGGTGGAGGAGGGGGAGAGGGAGAGGGAGGAGGAGGACGAGGAGGAGGAGGAGGAGGGGGAGGAGGAGGAGGAGGAGGAGCGCACCGTGCCTCAGAGGAGGAGGAGGAGGAGGGGGAGAGGGAGAGGGAGGAGGAAGGAGGAGGGGGTGGAGGAGGAGGAGGAGGAGGAGGAGGAGGAACCAGAGGAAGAAGCGAGGAGCCGGGAGGACGTGACGGAGCGGGGCCGCGACCCTGCTGCGCGGGGTTGCTGCAGGAGCCGGCACGGCTGCGGCGAGGGAGGCCAGAAGCGCCAGGTGCTGAGCGGCACGGTCTGGCTGTCGTCCACCATGCTCCTCGACCAGATCCTGCCAGAGGCCGCCCACGTCCTCGTTCTCCGACGTCTCTTCCTGCCACCTCTCCTCCCCCATCTGCCCATTCATCCCCGCATATCTCACCAGATCCTCCACATGCCTGCTCCTGTCAATCCTCTCAGTGCTCGTCACCATCGTCCTCATCGTCATGCTTGTCGCCTTTCTCCTCCCATTCCTCGTCCCACTCCTCCTCCCCCTCCTCCCCTCTCCCGCCCAGCCTCCTCCACCTCCTTCGCCTCCCTGCTCATCCTCCCTCCCCCTCCCAGGGCGCCACCTTCAATACTCCTCCTCCCCTCCCCCTGCTCCCGCGCCGCCCGCCCCCCCCGGGCGCGCCAGAGCCCCACAGCGTGGAGTTCTTCGTGCCCGAGGCGAGCGGCTGGATGCCCGCCATGGGGTTGGTGATGATGGAGTCCACCTCGGCGCTGCAGTGGAGGAGAGGCGGCACGCCGAACTCCAGATCTCCGACGGCATGATTTCTTCAACTCGGCGTCCTCGGTCTGGGCCTCCGAGGCTCGCCAGGAGTCCCCAAACCATGAGACACAGATCTGAAGCACGGCGAACAGCTGCCGCCCAGGGAAGGGGTGAAACCCTCTGGGCGGGGGGATCCGCCGTCCCCCGCTTGCCAGGGGTGAAGAGGCGTGTGAGACATGTGGCCGTCCCCCCTCCCACCGTTCACCCGCCCACAGGGTCCCAAATCCCGTTGACGGGTGGGCTTGGGGGGAGGGGTGGTGGGGTGGGGGGACGAGCTCGCCAACCCACCACCCCTGGGGCCTCAGGAGCCTCCGACAAGACCTGCGACTGTCCAAGAGCACCCAGAAAGAGCGCCAAGATGGTACCTGAAAGTGTCGAGATGGCCTTCGGTAGCCCCGCGACGGTCAAAGGTGGCCTCGAGGCGGCCCACGAAGCTTCCAAGAAGGGTTTTCCCAAATGACCGCCAGGGAAGGCCCCAGGAAGCAAACATCGTCCCCTTCCCATCGGACAACATACATGTTTGGCCTACTCGCCTTCTTCGTCTCGACGCCGTGCAAGACGGCCCCAAAGGCCCCCCGAGACCGTCCCAAAAAGGATCATCTTCCCCCTCCCATTCCCTGTGCTCCTACAACCCCTTCCTCCCCCCCCCCCCGCGTGGCCAAGAAAACGGCCCTGGGTGATCATCTCGCAAGCGGGCGGGCGACCTGGTGGCGGACCAACCCTGGAAGGTGGCTCCGCCGGCTCTCGAAAGGAACACGGCCGCGGCCGACCGGATCTCGCTGTGCCGTGCTGCGGATAGCTACGCCCGCCTCCGGTTCCTGCTGCTCCACCGCCTCGTCTCCAGTCTCCTCCCCGGCTCGTTGTGCACTGCCTCGCTCGCTCCCGCGGGCGCCATCGCCGAAAAGGGGAACGACGCCCGAGCGCGCGCGCGCTCTGGCCTCGGGAGAGCCGTGGAACGCCCAGCACGTGTGCACGCCAGGCTCGAACTCCATCCCCTGGTCCTCGAGGAGGGGGAAAGAAATGGAGCGAGGAAGGGAGTGAACGGGGGAAGGAGGAAGAGGAGGAGGAGGAGGAGGAGGAGGAGGGGGAGCGAGGAGTGAGGAGGAGGAGGAGGAAGAGGAGGAGGACGAGCAGGGGGAGGAGGCGAGAAAGATGGATGGAGGGAGGCGGGATTGGGGGGCTGCTGATGATGATGCGACGCGCGGCTTGGCTTGGGCGCGTGCTCGATCGCGCGGGGGCGGGCGGCTATGCAGCCGAACGGCCCACCGCCATTGGCAGTGCAACAAAGAAGAGAGAATGGGGCGAGAACCCGAAGAGGCAGACATCAAAAGGCAGGAAACACCGACGCACTGGGCCGGTCAAGACTAGACACCAGTGCGGCATCGAGAGGAGCGTCCTCCCCCAGACCTCCCGTCTCCCCTCCTCAGCCCCTTTATCCCCCTCCCCCTGAGGGGGAGGGGGATCGGGGTGGCGGACGGGAGAGGAACGGCCCGCGAGGGGGAGAGGGG